GAGTCCATGTTTTGATCTTTTCATCCATTGGCTGGTAAAACAAATAAAGACCACTTACCGAAACCATTTTTCAAGATCATACGAAAATCGCTCTAATAGAAATGAGTTACCTTTGTTTCTATTGCGCCTACTGTCGATTCGAAGACAAAGGAGTTGTTATAAGCACAAGCTATATAGATTTTTGTCATAAACTCAATTCGCTTTCTTTTTGTAGCCAAACTGAAATGGAAGAAACTTCAGTGTTCTGGCAGCGGACCTGAAAGAAGACTGGGCCACATTGCAGTATTAGTCTCTGGACAGGTAGTTATTGACCAGCCCCCTCTCCCACCCGTTATTGACATTCTCTAGAATCTTAGGCCCCGTATATATGGAGAAAAGCTGTCAAGGGTAACCTTCCCACCCCTCCCCAAGTCAACACAAGTGTTTGAAAAGTTGACCCCTTTGCCCGACCAAAATCGCCCGCGCATGCTCTGAACAGGGAGCTCAAGCGAAGACGTTTTTCAGCGACGTACGTCAACCGGAAGTGAGGCCTTCTCCCTTTTTATCTGCCTTGACGCTAACAAATTTGTATTGCTAAGTTTCTTTGCTCTTATAAAGACGATTTACCCGAGATTTTGAACCAAACCACTGGCCAGTGATGCAAAAAGTCCACTTCCGGTTGACGTCCGTCGCTCAAAAACGCTGTTACTGTAAGCTCCCTATTGTCTCGCCTTCAGTTGACCCGGCCTAGGCGAACCAAAGTGTTTACACGGCTGCGAGGCTGACCCTACCATCGAAAAAGGGTGAATTGGCTAGGCGGGTCACACTTCTAGCCGAGTAAACCTTTTCTTTTTCATGTAAACGACTCGCAAAGGTTTGTGAGGAAATGTAGGGAATATTTGCTCGCTCAGGGTTGCTTGGGTAGGCGACTGACCTCCCTCTATGTCTATTATCCATGGTATTGAGAAAATCTATTGAGATTCTAATGGTCTCTTATCTCTTTATTTTAACTCCTCCCGTTGTAGCGTCTTACGTGTGGTCTTCTGTCAATGGCCCCAGGTGTAACGCAACCTAGTTCCCAGGGTTCTTTCCTACTCTTCTGCGAGGGAGAGACAATTCGGAGAGAACCCTGGGAAGGGGGTTGGCTGCAACGTGGATGCCAGGTGGCTTCGGTTTAAAAGCTACAAATTTTTCGTCAAACGAGCGTGGAAATGGACAGGGAAATCGTTATTATTTGACAGACCGAAATTTCAGGTGAACTTTAATTGTTTCCTTCAGCTCATAATCTTTGGTGGAATGAATGATCAGAAGGATTTTAATGACGTGTGTATTCTACAAACGCGTTCCGCCTTGAAACACCTTCCTACGGAAATGGCAGGTAATTAACTCATTTACTGTGATTTAAAAGTGTAATATCACTTTTGGCGCGATGTTGTTCGTCAAAAATACTCCGCTGCGCGTCGTATTTTCAACTCTCTTCTCGGTGTTTCATCTGGTGATGAAACACTGCATCTCATGTTTGATATATTACATGTTCAACTCACTAAGATTAGTTCGTCTCATGAAAAGTTCGACGTTTGGCCTAGGCTTAAGATTCAACGACGCGACGGCAACGAGATCGTCGCTTAAAAAGAGAATTTTCGTTCTTTCAGTCTTTATCGCAATTATTCCTACCTACTTATTTTTAAATGTAGGCGAAACCTCCTGAAGTTGAATTCCAAGGGATCACATCCAAGTTCAGAAAGAAAGATAATTTCGTCGTTTCTTGTTTACGTTCTCCATCAAAACGCGAAATTAGGCATTTTCACGCCCTAGTCGTGCAAAAAAGGCAAAGAAATGTACAAAAAATTGTTATGCACGTGAAAATTTGTTTTTTGCTTATTAGACCTATTGTTTTTAGACGTTCTCGTTGCAGTCGCGTGGTTGGATCTAAAACTCTTTGCTTTTGTGACTGGCTTTCTCCTTGCCTTTACCGCTTTCCGTTGCTGTAGCTCCCCATTCATTATACTGTGTGTAAACCTGGGATCATGGTAGCCTGTGAGCAAGCTCTCCGGGGCGTTCTGGTGGCGGGACGGGGAAAGGAATGGGAGCTTGCAACTACGTCTCTGGAATTTGAATATCTGTATCGAAAAAATCGATGCGAAATGCTGATTGGCGGAGATGACATTAGTAATGACGTCATTACCCTTGGGGCGTGCTTTCACGTGTTTTTAAATGTTTGTTTGCATTCGTGCTCGTTTCCGCTTCGCGCTGATTGGCGGAAATTAGACAGCTCAGTCGACGGGGAACCACAGGGGAATTGAAAGCAAAATTCAAATTCTAGAGACGTAGTGACAAGTTCTCCTTCCTTCTCCCGCTCCACCGACAGAGCGCCCCGGAGAACTTACTCGCAGGCAAGGATCATGGTTATTGTTAGGGCTCACTTTTTTTATATATACTTTTTGGGTTTATTCGCCAGGATATTTACTTATTTGGTGGATCAAATGATAAAGCAAAGGTTCCAACGCCATTCGAAGATGTATACAAATTGAGCATGTGTAAGTAGTCATGCGAATTATAATTATC